ATAAAAATTTGTTTTGTTGATTTATAAAAAAAGAGACAAGAGAATAATTCTAAACAAAAGTACAAATGAAGATAATTACAACTATAGTGATGATGACAATGGCAGTCAACAGAAAATATTGAAACCCATTAACCCATGCCCACTGCAAATTATTTACAATGTATATTCTGCTGCAAAATTAGCCATTGGTATAGATTGACTCCTGAAAAAAAAAAGATCTAGAAAGAAAACTTCGACAAAACTTGATTAGATCACTGGATAAATCATATGAAAACACAAAAGCAAGAAAGGAAGAAATGTTTAAGATACAAAATGATTTAATATAAAATGTATGGAAAAATATTTTATAAGTGGTCAGACTTTACGACACATACAAAGTGTTTTGGCACCATGGACCAAAATCTCCTCAAAGAATATGGAACAAAAAAACAATTGTGTTACGATGAACTTGAAAAAAGAAGCAATCTAAAAACTCATTTTGGGATAAAATTGCAGTATGAGATAATAAGGCAAGCTCAGGTGCACATGAGTTGTGTTATTGTGAGAAAAGGGGAACAATGTTGTTACAGTTTGTTATATAATTATAATTTGATGCTTGAAATTGTTGCATTATGGATAAAACCAAAGAGAAGACGATGTCTAGTTTGTGATGGTTGAGCAAAAAAGGTCAGCATTAAACAGAACAAAAGAACGATATAAAGGAGAGATGAGGTCTACACTATTTAGGATAACTCATGACGTACTAAAAACCTTCACATTTAAGGTATATGGGGGCTTCAACAAAGAAGAGGTTGAACAAAAGTTGTCATTGGAAATAGATCCCTACCTCTGGAGAGTCATCACAGTCTCCAAAAACATCAGCAAAGTCTGTAGGACTTTTCCTCAGAGTCTGGTCAGCAGGCAGTGTGTTGTCATTGTAAGATGACACAAACTTAAAGTCACTGGTTCGAGACCCTGTTGTCAGGTAGGCGTCATAATTGTAAGCGCTGCGTAAAGTCCCTGTGCCGTCAACATCTGCGTAATTAGGAGGAAGATAAGCGCTGGGGATGGCGACTGCTCCGTCAAACAACAGTCTGGGCTTTCTCCTGCGACAAAACCTCACACCCATGATGATGATGATGAAGGTCAGAAAAAAGTGGACACACACACCAGCGCGATGATCAGATAAGAGGTCAGTTTGGAGTTCTTCTCATCATAAGAAATGTCCTTCAGTTCTGGCACCTCAGCCAAGTTATCAGAAATCAGTAAATACATGGAACAGGTGGCAGACAGAGAGGGCTGTCCGTTATCTTTCACTGACACAATAAGGTTCTGTTTCATGCTGTCAGACTCAGAAATGTCCCGCTGGGTCCTGATCTCTCCGCTGTGGACACCAATAGTGAAAAGTCCCGGATCAGTGGATTTCACTATATGATAGGACAGCCAGGCGTTCTGTCCGGAGTCCGCGTCCACCGCTATCACTTTGGACACCAGAGAGCCTCCGTGTGCAGCTTTGGGGACCAACTCGGTCATGAAGGAGTTGCCCTCCGGGGCGGGGTACAGTATCTGAGGAGAGTTATCATTCACATCCGATATGAACACACTCACGGTCACGTTGCTGCTGAGTGGAGGAGAACCGTTGTCTCTGGCCATCACGTGCACTTTAAAGCTCCTGAACTGTTCATAATCAAACGACCTCACAGCGTGGATCACCCCCGTGTCTCCGTTCACAGACACATAGGAGGACACCGGGGCACCGTTCACCTCACCGGATAACAGAGAATAAACCACTGTACCGTTCTGTCTCCAGTCGGGGTCTCGAGCACTAACGGAACATAAAGTGGAGCCAGGTTTGTTATTTTCACTCACATATGCGCTGTACGACTGTTCCTCAAACACAGGTGGGTTGTCGTTGATGTCTGCTACAGATAACTGAACAGTTTTAGAGGAGGACAGAGGTGGAGAGCCCTCGTCAGTGGCAGTGATTGTAATGTTGTAATCAGACACTAGTTCACGGTCCAGTTGTCCTGTGCTCACCACAGAATAATAGTTTTTAATAGATGGAACCAACTTAAAAGGGACATTCTGCTGAATGGAGCAGCGGACCTGTCTGTTAGTCTCAGAGTCTCTATCCTGCACGCTAATGATGCCCACCTCTGTACCAGGTGACACGTTCTCAGGTATGGGATTCTTCAGTGATTTTAGGTATATCACTGGGGCGTTATCATTCATGTCAGTAATGTCAATGACTAAAGTTGCGTATGACGCCAATCCTAACCCATCTTTAGCGCTAATCTGCATTTCATATGACGATTCTTTTTCATAATCAATAGATCCAGCGACCTTAATCTCTCCTGTTTTAGAGTCCAGGGAGAAAACTTGGTTGTCATCTGAAACATCATCAAATCCATAAGTTATTTCACCATTTAAACCTTCGTCTGCATCAGTAGCACTGACTGTGATTACCAATGTGTCTAAAGGAGAGTTTTCAGGAAGACTGGCTTTATAAACGGTCTGACTGAACACTGGTACATTATCATTAGCATCCAGTACAATGACATGTATGACTACAGTCCCTGATCTCCGAGGAGAGCCTCCATCAAATGCTGTAAGCAACAACATGAGCTCTCTTTTGTCCTCTCTGTCTAATTCTTTGTCTAAAACTAATTCACCATATTTTCGTCCACTGCCCTTTGTCTTGACATTTAATTTGAAATGCTCATTCTGCTGTAAAGAGTATCCTTGAACAGCATTTTCTCCAATATCTCCATCGTGTGCTTCGTCCAAAAGAAAACGCGCACCCTTAACTGCCGATTCCTGCATTTCAATCTTGAGTGACTCTTCTTTAAACTGAGGTGAATTGTCGTTGATATCCTGAACGCGGATATTAATACGGTGCACTTCTAAAGGATTTTCCAAAACGAGTTCCTGTTTCAGAACACACGATGCTCGTTTCGCACAAAGCCCTTCTCTGTCAATCCTTTCATGTACGATCAAGTCTCCTGTATTGAGATTCACCCCGCAGTATTTCACATTGTTATCCTCGGTGTCAATGCGGGCATTTCGAGCAGACAGTGTGCCAGATTCTAGTCCCAGATCCTTCGCGATATTTCCAATTACAGATCCACGTTTCATTTCCTCCGGGATAGAGTAGCTCACGTCTCCATAGACGGGGTGGAGGACGAACAAAATAACAGCAAGGCCGTAACGCAGCACAGAACTGATGTATCCCATTGTTACTGCGAGAACGACGGTATTCTTACATAACCTTTACAACAGATCAACGTTGGATCCGTCTTTAATCCAGCAAATAAAAAAGACACATAGCAGTCCAACACAAAGTGGGTTTCGTCAACTGCGGTACGAGAGCAGAGTCAGGCTTTGAATTCGTTGAGACAGAAGGGTGGAGAATGACTGTGCCCTTTCGTTTGCTAGTATACACTGACACCATGAGTATTTGTGAGGTACAACATGGAGACGTTTTCCCCCCTGTAAATGTATAAGTATATATTTTAAGTACTTATAGAAAAAAATAATATTTCAAACTTCGTTTCGAGAAGGACCGTTTTGACTCCAAATAGATATGTTGTGTGTTTTAAAACACACAGACACAGAAATGACATGCTCACACTAAACGCACTGCTTCAGAGACACATTTAACTTGAGTACTGTAAGGATTCTGTTAACTCAGGGGACAGATCAATCTTCTGAGACAAGTAAAAATATGCTTCAACGCAACGTGAAGGAAAAGACGAACAAAGTTGTTTAATTCTTCCAACTTAAAAGAACATGAAAAATGTGAAGGTTGTCTGAAACAAAATGCGCTAGTTTTTCCAAAATTCAATTATACCTCATCAACAAATATACTCATTTCACTTGAGTGAACAGCATGGCTTACTTAACCAAAAGGCTTTCCCACAAATAAACACATGGCCGATCTCTCAGCAAGCGGGGCATCACTGACACAACACAATTAACACAACATCTCCATGTTTAATCTTCTCAAATTGTTCTACTCAGAATCTCATTAACAATACAACGTGATCAGATTCTAACGAGTATCAATCCAAAAGAGACACTTCCAACGACACCGGACTAGTGCACTAATATTTATTTTGGAAACACAGGACAAATTAAAATTGACAGTTTTATCAAAACCTATAAACTAACAAATTCACTGAAACTAGATGTGAAAATAGGGGAAGGGTTGATTAAAAAAATAATTTAACCATCTCAAAAAGCCATGAGAAAATTCAAAAGATTCCAGACCAAGGACAAAGAAACCGGAAGGGCAAGGGACGTATATTTATATAGCACCTTTCAGCAACAAGAGGATTCAAAGTTCGTCACACAAGACCTATCGTTAATGTTTCCTTTAGCTTTAGTTGGGGGAAGAAGTGTTTAGGAGGAGCAATTTAGCAAAGAGTATAACAGCAGCAGAAACAGAGAGGTAAACTAGGTCTGAACTGTATCACAGCATCAAACAGAGTTCAGCACCAAGGACAGCGAAAGTCACTGAACATCGAAATGGCAACGAAAAAGTTGACAGACATTCATGTACCATTAGAGTAATACATACAAAAAGCACAATACTGTGAAACGTAAACTTTAAATGCCAAGTAAATCACTATAATATTTCAAACAAGTTTGGAAAGAGATCATCCCTTTAAGTGTGTGTGTTTGTGTGCGAGGGTGCAGGTGTATGTAGGTTACAGATGGGAGATAGGGAAGAGATAGTGTGGAGGTATGAATGGAGATGTATTTAATCAGAATGTATATTTATGAAGGCTTTGCTGTTTGGGAAAAAAGTCTTAAGTAAAAACAGATCAGCAACAACTATGCCAGAGAAAGCTGAAATCTACGTTCTTCAAGAACCACCTTAACTTGTTTTTGTTATTTTTCCTCCCTTCATATGAAATCAAAATGAACTGTAGTCACAAAAGAACAAAACAAAAAGAAAGAATGAAAAAAGTCAAAACAAAGAACGGCGAGGGCTTCAAAACCACTTTCAACTCAAAATGTCATTTGAAATAGGTTCCTACCTCAGGAGATTCATCACAGTCTCCAAAAACATCAGCAAAGTCTGAAGGACTTTTCCTCAGAGTCTGGTCAGCAGGCAGTGTGTTGTCATTGTAAGATGACACAAACTTAAAGTCACTGGTTCGAGACCCTGTTGTCAGGTAGGCGTCATAATTGTAAGCGCTGCGTAAAGTCCCTGTGCCGTCAACATCTGCGTAATTAGGAGGAAGATAAGCGCTGGGGATGGCGACTGCTCCGTCAAACAACAGTCTGGGCTTTCTCCTGCGACAAAACTTCACACCCATGATGATGATGATGAAGGTCAGAAAAAAGGTGGACACACACACCAGCGCGATGATCAGATAAGAGGTCAGTTTGGAGTTCTTCTCATCATAAGAAATGTCCTTCAGTTCTGGCACCTCAGCCAAGTTATCAGAAATCAGTAAATACATGGAACAGGTGGCAGACAGAGAGGGCTGTCCGTTATCTTTCACTGACACAATAAGGTTCTGTTTCATGCTGTCAGACTCAGAAATGTCCCGCTGGGTCCTGATCTCTCCGCTGTGGACACCAATAGTGAAAAGTCCCGGATCAGTGGATTTCACTATATGATAGGACAGCCAGGCGTTCTGTCCGGAGTCCGCGTCCACCGCTATCACTTTGGACACCAGAGAGCCTCCGTGTGCAGCTTTGGGGACCAGCTCGGTCATGAAGGAGTTGCCCTCCGGGGCGGGGTACAGTATCTGAGGAGAGTTATCATTCACATCCGATATGAACACACTCACGGTCACGTTGCTGCTGAGTGGAGGAGAACCGTTGTCTCTGGCCATCACGTGCACTTTAAAGTTCCTGAACTGTTCATAATCAAACGACCTCACAGCGTGGATCACCCCCGTGTCTCCGTTCACTGACACATAGGAGGACACCGGGGCACCGTTCACCTCACCGGATAACAGAGAATAAACCACTGTACCGTTCTGTCTCCAGTCGGGGTCTCGAGCACTAACGGAACATAAAGTGGAGCCAGGTTTGTTATTTTCACTCACATATGCGCTGTACGACTGTTCCTCAAACACAGGTGGGTTGTCGTTGATGTCTGCTACAGATAACTGAACAGTTTTAGAGGAGGACAGAGGTGGAGAGCCCTCGTCAGTGGCAGTGATTGTAATGTTGTAATCAGACACTAGTTCACGGTCCAGTTGTCCTGTGCTCACCACAGAATAATAGTTTTTAATAGAAGGAACCAACTTAAAAGGGACATTCTGCTGAATGGAGCAGCGGACCTGTCTGTTAGTCTCAGAGTCTCTATCCTGCACGTTAATGATGCCCACCTCTGTACCAGGTGACACGTTCTCAGGTATGGGATTCTTCAGTGATTTTAGGTATATCACTGGGGCGTTATCATTCATGTCAGTAATGTCAATGACTAAAGTTGCGTATGACGCCAATCCTAACCCATCTTTAGCGCTAATCTGCATTTCATATGACGATTCTTTTTCATAATCAATAGATCCAGCGACCTTAATCTCTCCTGTTTTAGAGTCCAGGGAGAAAACTTGGTTGTCATCTGAAACATCATCAAATCCATAAGTTATTTCACCATTTAAACCTTCGTCTGCATCAGTAGCACTGACTGTGATTACCAATGTGTCTAAAGGAGAGTTTTCAGGAAGACTGGCTTTATAAACGGTCTGACTGAACACTGGTACATTATCATTAGCATCCAGTACAATGACATGTATGACTACAGTCCCTGATCTCCGAGGAGAGCCTCCATCAAATGCTGTAAGCAACAACATGAGCTCTCCTTTGTCCTCTCTGTCTAATTCTTTGTCTAAAACTAATTCACCATATTTACGTCCACTGCCCTTTGTCTTGACATTTAATTTGAAATGCTCATTCTGCTGTAAAGAATATCCTTGAACAGCATTTTCTCCAATATCTCCATCGTGTGCTTCGTCCAAAAGAAAACGCGCACCCTTAGCTGCCATTTCACGGATTTCAAATGTAAGGGACTCTTCTTTAAACTGAGGTGAATTGTCGTTGATATCTTGAACGCGGATATTAATACGGTGCACTTCTAAAGGATTTTCCAAAACGAGTTCCTGTTTCAGAACACACGATGCTCGTTTCGCACAAAGCCCTTCTCTGTCAATCCTTTCTTGTACGATCAAGTCTCCTGTATTGACATTCACCCCGCAGTAATTAACACTGTTATCCTCGGTGTCAATACGAGCCTTGCGAGCGGACAGTGTGCCAGATTCAAGTCCCAAATCCTTCGCGATATTTCCAATTACAGATCCACGTTTCATTTCCTCCGGGATAGAGTAGCTCACGTCTCCATAGACGGGGTGGAGGACGAACAAAATAACAGCAAGGCCGTAACGCAGCACAGAACTGATGTATCCCATTGTTACTGCGAGAACGACGGTATTCTTACAATAACCTTTACAACAGATCAACGTTGGATCCGTCTTTAATCCAGCAAATAAAAAAGACACATAGCAGTCCAACACAAAGTGGGTTTCGTCAACTGCGGTACGAGAGCAGAGTCAGGCTTTGAATTCGTTGAGACAGAAGGGTGGAGAATGACTGTGCCCTTTCGTTTGCTAGTATACACTGACACCATGAGTATTTGTGAGGTATAACATGGAGACGTTTCCCCCCCCTGTAAATGTATAAGTATATATTTTAAGTACTTATAGAAAAAAATAATATTTCCAACTTCGTTTCGAGAAGGACCGTTTTGACTCCAAATAGATCTGTTGTGTGTTTTAAAACACACAGACATAGAAATGACATGCTCACACTAAACGCACTGCTTCAGAGACACATTTAACTTGAGTACTGTAAGGATTCTGTTAACTCAGGGGACAGATCAATCTTCTGAGACAAGTACAAATATGCTTCAAAGCAACGTGAAGGAAAAGACGAACAAAGTTGTTTAATTCTTCCAACTTAAAAAAACATGAAAAATTTGAAGGTTGCCTGAAACAAAATGCGCTAGTTTTTCCAAAATTCAATTATACCTCATCAACAAATATACTCATTTCACTTGAGTGAACAGCATGGCTTACTTAACCAAAAGGCTTTCCCACAAATAAACACATGGCCGATCTCTCAGCAAGCGGGGCATCACTGACACAACACAATTAACACAACATCTCCATGTTTAATCTTCTCAAATTGTTCTACTCAGAATCTCATTAACCATACAAAGTGATCAGATTCTAACGAGTATCAATTCAAAAGAGACACTTCCAACGACACCGGACAAGTGCACTAATATTTATTTTGGAAACACAGGACAAATTCAAATTGACAGTTTTATCAAAACCTATAAACTAACAAATTCACTGAAACTAGATGTGAAAATAAAGGAGGGGTTGATTACAAAAAGAATTGAACCATCTCAAAAAGCCATGAGAAAATTCAAAAGATTCAAGACCAAGGACAAAGAAACCGGAAGGGCAAGGGACGTATATTTATATAGCACCTTTCAGCAACAAGGGAATTCAAAGTTCGTCACACAAGACCTATCATTAATGTTTCCTTTAGCTTTAGTTGGGGGAAGAAGTGTTTAGGAAGAGCAATTTAGCAAAGGGTATAAGAGCAGCAGAAACAGAGAGGTAAACTAGGTCTGAACTGTATCACAGCATCAAACAGAGTTCAGCACCAAGGACAGCGAAAGTTACTGAACATCGAAATGGCAACGCAAAAGTTGAGAGACATTCAAGTACCATTAGAGTAATACATAGGAAAAAGTACAATACTGTGAAACGTAAAATTTAAATGCCAAGTAAATCACTATAATATTTCAAACAAGTTTGGAAAGAGATCATCCCTTTAAGTGTTTGCGTGTGTGTGTGTGTGTGCGAGCGTGCAGGTGTATGTAGGTTACAGATGGGAGATAGGGAAGAGATAGTGTGGAGGTATGAATGGAGATGTATTTAATCAGAATGTATATTTATGAAGGCTTTGCTGTTTGGGGAAAAAAGTCTGGAAGTAAAAACAGATCAGCAACAATTATGCCAGAGAAAGCTGAAATCTACGTTCTTCAAGAACCAACTTAACTTGTTTTTGTTATTTTTCCTCCCTTCATATGAAATCAAAATGAACTGTAGTCACAAAAGAACAAAACAAAAAGAAAGAATGAAAAAAGTCAAAACAAAGAACGGCGAGGGCTTCAAAACCACCTTCAACTCAAAATGTCATTTGAAATAGGTTCCTACCTCAGGAGAGTCATCACAGTCTCCAAAAACATCAGCAAAGTCTGTAGGACTTTTCCTCAGAGTCTGGTCAGCAGGCAGTGTGTTGTCATTGTAAGATGACACAAACTTAAAGTCACTGGTTCGAGACCCTGTTGTCAGGTAGGCGTCATAATTGTAAGCGCTGCGTAAAGTCCCTGTGCCGTCAACATCTGCGTAATTAGGAGGAAGATAAGCGCTGGGGATGGCGACTGCTCCGTCAAACAACAGTCTGGGCTTTCTCCTGCGACAAAACCTTACACCCATGATGATGATGATGAAGGTCAGAAAAAAGGTGGACACACACACCAGCGCGATGATCAGATAAGAGGTCAGTTTGGAGTTCTTCTCATCATAAGAAATGTCCTTCAGTTCTGGCACCTCAGCCAAGTTATCAGAAATCAGTAAATACATGGAACAGGTGGCAGACAGAGAGGGCTGTCCGTTATCTTTCACTGACACAATAAGGTTCTGTTTCATGCTGTCAGACTCAGAAATGTCCCGCTGGGTCCTGATCTCTCCGCTGTGGACACCAATAGTGAAAAGTCCCGGATCAGTGGATTTCACTATATGATAGGACAGCCAGGCGTTCTGTCCGGAGTCCGCGTCCACCGCTATCACTTTGGACACCAGAGAGCCTCCGTGTGCAGCTTTGGGGACCAGCTCGGTCATGAAGGAGTTGCCCTCCGGGGCGGGGTACAGTATCTGAGGAGAGTTGTCATTCACATCCGATATGAACACACTCACGGTCACGTTGCTGCTGAGTGGAGGAGAACCGTTGTCTCTGGCCATCACGTGCACTTTAAAGCTCCTGAACTGTTCATAATCAAACGACCTCACAGCGTGGATCACCCCCGTGTCTCCGTTCACAGACACATAGGAGGACACCGGGGCACCGTTCACCTCACCGGATAACAGAGAATAAACCACTGTACCGTTCTGTCTCCAGTCGGGGTCTCGAGCACTAACGGAACATAAAGTGGAGCCAGGTTTGTTATTTTCACTCACATATGCGCTGTACGACTGTTCCTCAAACACAGGTGGGTTGTCGTTGATGTCTGCTACAGATAACTGAACAGTTTTAGAGGAGGACAGAGGTGGAGAGCCCTCGTCAGTGGCAGTGATTGTAATGTTGTAATCAGACACTAGTTCACGGTCCAGTTGTCCTGTGCTCACCACAGAATAGTAGTTTTTAATAGAAGGAACCAACTTAAAAGGGACATTCTGCTGAATGGAGCAGCGGACCTGTCTGTTAGTCTCAGAGTCTCTATCCTGCACGTTAATGATGCCCACCTCTGTACCAGGTGACACGTTCTCAGGTATGGGGGTGGTCAGTGATTTAAGGTATATAAGAGGAGCGTTGTCATTTATGTCAGTCACATCTATTATCAATGTCGCGTATGAAACTAATCCAAGACCATCTTTGGCGCTTATCTGAACTTCATAGGAAGACTCTTTTTCATAATCAATTGCGACAGCTACTCTCACCTCTCCCGATTTAGGATCTAAAGAAAAAACGTTGTTCTTTTCATCTGAAACATGATCAAAACCATAAGTTATTTCACTATTTAAACCTTCGTCTGCATCAGTAGCACTGACTGTGATTACCAATGTGTCTAAAGGAGAGTTTTCAGGAAGACTGGCTTTATAGACGGTCTGACTGAACACTGGTACATTATCATTAGCATCCAGTACAGTGACATGTATGACTACAGTCCCTGATCTCCGAGGAGAGCCTCCATCAAATGCTGTAAGCAATAACTGAGCTCTCGTTTTTCTTCTCGGTCTAATTCTTTATCTAAAACTAATTCGCAGTACTTTCGGCCCCCTGCTTTCGTGTTTATATTTAAATTAAAATGATCATTCTGCTGAAGAGTATAGCCCTGAACAGCATTTTCTCCGATGTCTCCATCGTGTGCCTCTCCGAGGAGAAAACGTGCACCCTTAGCTGCTGATTCCTGAATTTCAATTCTAAGTGAATCATCTGTAAATTGGGGTGAATTGTCGTTGATATCTTGAACGCGGATATTAATACGGTGCACTTCTAAAGGATTTTCCAAAACGAGTTCCTGTTTCAGAACACACGATGCTCGTTTCGCACAAAGCCCTTCTCTGTCAATCCTTTCTTGTACGATCAAGTCTCCTGTATTGAGATTCACCCCGCAGTACTTCACACTGTTATCCTCGGTGTCAATGCGAGCCTTTCGAGCAGACAGTGTGCCAGATTCAAGTCCCAGATCCTTTGCGATATTTCCAATTACAGATCCACGTTTCATTTCCTCCGGGATAGAGTAGCTCACGTCTCCATAGACGGGGTGGAGGACGAACAAAATAACAGCAAGGCCGTAACGCAGCACAGAACTGATGTATCCCATTGTTACTGCGAGAAAGACCGTATTCTTACAATAACCTTAACAACAGATCAACGTTGGATCCGTGATTAATTCAGCAAATAAAAAAGACACATAGCAGTCCAACACAAAGCGGGTTTCGTCAACTGCGGTACGAGAGCAGAGTCAGGCTTTGAATTCGTTGAGACAGAAGGGTGGAGAATGACTGTGCCCTTTCGTTTGCTAGTATACACTGACACCATGAGTATTTGTGAGGTACAACATGAATTTGGAGAAGTTTTTTCTTTGTATATTCAGAAGTGTATATTTTTCTGCTTGTATATGAATATAAAAAGTAATTGTGCAAACGTCGTGTCGGAAATGGCCGTTTAAGACTCCAAATAGATCTGTTGTGCGTTTTCAATCACATACAAAATATGATGTGCTCACCCTAAATGCACTGTATTCATAGACACATTTAGTTTGATTATTGTAGGGATTCTGTGAAGTCAGGAGAAGGCCAATCTTCGAACACAAGTGAAGGTATGCTTGGACAAAAACGTGATGAAAAACGAAATTGTATAGCTCTAACTTATAAACCATAACTTTATTTGAAGGTTATCTGAGGCAACATGTTTGCTTATTCTACGCAATCAACAAAAACACCCACTTCATGTGAGGGACATCAAGACGTATTCAACCAAAAGGCATTTCCAAAAAAACAAATATATACATGGATTATCTCGGCAAGCGGTGCATCACTGAAACAACACAATTAAGACATAAGCTCCATTTTTAATCATTTCATATTGTTCTAGTCCGCATCCGATTTAAAGAAAGCAGTAATCAAATTCTAGCGGTTATCAATCCAAAGTAGAAACTTCCAATGACACCAGAATAAGCCAACGATATACACATTTTGGGAACACAAGCCAAATGAAAGAAATTACTTTTGTATTGAAATCTATAAACAAACAAATTCACTGAGACCAAATGTGAAAATTGTGAGGAGTAGGTTTAGAAAAGAAGTGAACTATCTCAAAAAGAAATAAGCAAATCCAAAAGATTCAGGACCAAGGAAAGAGTAGGGCAAGGCAAGTCAAGTTTACTAATATGGAACATTACAGCAACAAGGAAATTCCAGTGCTTCACGCAAGACCATATCGTTAGGTTTCCTCTTGCTTTAGTTGGATTAAAGGTATTTAGGAAAATACATTTAGCAAAAGGAAAGCAACAGCAGAAACAACAACTGAAACCACAGAGGTTTACCAGCTCAAAACTGCATGACCACATCAAATGGATTTCAGCACCACGGACAGCTCAACTTACTGAACATTGAAATGGTAACGCAAAAGTCAAGAGACATTAAAGTACCGTTAAAGCAAAATACATTACTGTCCAACTTGTGATTTTAATGCCAAGTAAATGACTGTATAATATTTCAAAGGATTTCATCCCTTCAAGTGTGTGTGTGTATGGTGCGCATGTGTGTATGTTACAAATAGGAGAGAGAGAAGAGATAGTGGGGTGGGCATGAATAGAGGTGTATTTAAACAGAATATATATTTAAAAAGACTTTGATGTTCAGGCAAATTTGTTTAAGTCAACAACAATTATACCAGAGAAAGTGTAATCTACGTTCTTCAAGAACCACCTTAACTTGTAGTTTTTAACTTCCTACATATCATTTCGAAATGAACTGATGTCACAACACAACAACACAACGAAATCTAAAGAAACAATGAGGAGTGCTGAGGAGTGCTTCAAAAAGACATTAAGCAAAAGTTGTCAGTTGAAGTAGGTTCCTACCTCAGGAGAATCATCACAGTCTCCAAAAACATCAGCAAAGTCTGAAGGACTTTTCCTCAGAGTCTGGTCAGCAGGCAGTGTGTTGTCATTGTAAGATGACACAAACTTAAAGTCACTGGTTCGAGACCCTGTCGTCAGGTAGGCGTCATAATTGTAAGCGCTGCGTAAAGTCCCTGTGCCGTCAACATCTGCGTAATTAGGAGGAAGATAAGCGCTGGGGATGGCGACTGCTCCGTCAAACAACAGTCTGGGCTTTCTCCTGCGACAAAACCTCACACCCATGATGATGATGATGAAGGTCAGAAAAAAGGTGGACACACACACCAGCGCGATGATCAGATAAGAGGTCAGTTTGGAGTTCTTCTCATCATAAGAAATGTCCTTCAGTTCTGGCACCTCAGCCAAGTTATCAGAAATCAGTAAATACATGGAACAGGTGGCAGACAGAGAGGGCTGTCCGTTATCTTTCACTGACACAATAAGGTTCTGTTTCATGCTGTCAGACTCAGAAATGTCCCGCTGGGTCCTGATCTCTCCGCTGTGGACACCAATAGTGAAAAGTCCCGGATCAGTGGATTTCACTATATGATAGGACAGCCAGGCGTTCTGTCCGGAGTCCGCGTCCACCGCTATCACTTTGGACACCAGAGAGCCTCCGTGTGCAGCTTTGGGGACCAGCTCGGTCATGAAGGAGTTGCCCTCCGGGGCGGGGTACAGTATCTGAGGAGAGTTATCATTCACATCCGATATGAACACACTCACGGTCACGTTGCTGCTGAGTGGAGGAGAACCGTTGTCTCTGGCCATCACGTGCACTTTAAAGCTCCTGAACTGTTCATAATCAAACGACCTCACAGCGTGGATCACCCCCGTGTCTCCGTTCACTGACACATAGGAGGACACCGGGGCACCGTTCACCTCACCGGATAACAGAGAATAAACCACTGTACCGTTCTGTCTCCAGTCGGGGTCTCGAGCACTAACGGAACATAAAGTGGAGCCAGGTTTGTTATTTTCACTCACATATGCGCTGTACGACTGTTCCTCAAACACAGGTGGGTTGTCGTTGATGTCTGCTACAGATAACTGAACAGTTTTAGAGGAGGACAGAGGTGGAGAGCCCTCGTCAGTGGCAGTGATTGTAATGTTGTAATCAGACACTAGTTCACGGTCCAGTTGTCCTGTGCTCACCACAGAATAATAGTTTTTAATAGAAGGAACCAACTTAAAAGGGACATTCTGCTGAATGGAGCAGCGGACCTGTCTGTTAGTCTCAGAGTCTCTATCCTGCACGTTAATGATGCCCACCTCTGTACCAGGTGACACGTTCTCAGGTATGGGGTTAGTCAGTGACTTCAGATAAATCAGCGGGGCATTATCATTCACATCAGTGACATCTATAATAACTTTAGTTTCTGAAGAGAGACCATAACCATCTTTGGCCTCAACAAAAACTTCATATTTTGCTCCCTCTTCATAATCGATGGTACCTGCTACACCGATAACTCCAGTTTTCTCATCTAATGAAAAAAGCTTTCGTGATTTATCAGATATTCGACTAAATTCATATGTTACCTCCCCGTTGACACCTTCGTCTGCGTCAGATGCGCTTACAGTGATAACTGGGGTATTGATAGGGGAGTTTTCCGCTAACGTTGCCGTATATACGGTCTCAGTGAACACTGGGGCGTTATCATTAGCATCAAGTACAATGACGTGTATGACTACAGTCCCGGATCTTTGAGGAGAGCCTCCATCCACAGCTGTGAGCAGTAATTTCATTTCCTGCTGCTCCTCTCGGTCTAATTCCTTATCCAAAACTAACTCACCGTATTTACTGCCAGCACTTGTCGTCTGAATTTTGAACACAAAGTTTGGATTCTGTTGCAAAATGTAGCTCTCAACTGAGTTCTTTCCTGTATCTGCATCATGTGCTGCATTGATGCGAAACTTGGCTCCTTTTGTCAGCTGATTCTGTTATTTCTAGCTTTATAATATCCTTTTGGAAAATTGGTGCATTGTCGTTGACATCCTGCACCTGCAGAGACAGCCGGTGTAACTCCAATGGATTCTCTAAGACCAAGTCGAATTTAAGAACACAAGAAGGCTTTTCCCCACAATGCTCCTCCCGGTCAATCCTTTCAGCAACGTACAAGTCTCCGTTACGAAGGTTCACCCCGCAGTATTGTTTGTCGTTGCCCTCCATGTCAATACGAGCTTTACGAGCAGACAGTCTGCCCACCTCAAGGCCCAGATCCTTGGCGATATTTCCAATAACAGATCCGCGCTTCAGCTCCTCCTGTACAGAATAGCTCAGGTCTCCGTGTGTATAATGCACCAAAACAAAGAAAAAGACAAAGATAGAGCTCTGAAGAAAGCCCCGTTCAAACATCATCCTTACAGACCTAATATTCCCGTTACTACACGGTGGTTTCGAGCATTAAATTACGTTATTGTTTAACAGTTGTGCCGTCCAAGAATTTGTAGTCGGTACTGAAGGCTACAAAGACCACAGGGATGGTCGATGGAAGTAGTGGGTGGTGTGCAAAGCAGCCTGAACATCTGACTCCTTTGCTGGTCTATAGTGACACCGTGAGTACGACTTAAACATAGCAGTTTATTTTGAAATCCAAAAGCAGGTACACTGAACGTAAATGTTTGAGAATACAGTTTAAAAAGCTATCATGCCAGTGCAGTGAAGAAGTTGTAAGGCATTGTCTCATTTCTCCAACGCGACAGGCTTGAACACTACATTTAAAAATCCACTTTAAGCATTTCACTAGGGAACAAAGACTAATGTTAATATTAGAAATACTACAAACAGTGTCTGGTCAGTTGCACATTGAATACTCCTTCATCAGTCACTTCAACAGCTTTCATTCAGCAGTATAACCTCAAGGAGACAAGCTCCCACACTCGTCAATCTTTCAATTCCTCTGACTGGTTAAATCTCAGATACTGTTTATAGAACAAAAATGTTTCAACATGTTGGTATTAAACATTTGGTGTGAACTGCATCAGTTGCAGTAGATATGATGTAACCTTTTAATTCATCTTCATTCATGTATAATTCAAATTACAATCATAAATCTCGGCCAAAATATGAAAAGCACAGTGTATAAAGTTTTTCAAAGTTGTTGAATACCTGGTGTAAACTGATGATTTAAACAATGTTTTTTTCTTTTAAAGGACGCAGCCAAATTGAAAAATTAGTAATGGAAAAAGGAAAAGATCTGCACACATACACCACTTAAACATACATCATTTTTAAGATAAAATAAGTAACATCCTATTGGAATTGAACATTATGACATTGATGATCTTTGTTTGTAATTGCTCAGTGTTTAATGTCTGTAACTTGCTAAATGTGCTGTTGTCCATCTTGGACAGGACTCTCTTGTTTATGAGATTCTTAATCTCAATTAGGTTTTCCTGGATGAATTCATGTCATATAACAAATATATTATGGAGACCTATGAATTACAGAATACTTATGGTATTGGAGCGCAATGGAAAACAAAAAGGATATCTTACTGACAAGACAAATACTTCTTGTTTCCCCTGTCATATTTTGTCCCTCAAAGAGAGGCATGTTATTGTCCAATATTCTAATTAAAAATGTAATGTTTTTTTTCTGCAGATAAAATATTTAAAATCTAAAACACAACAAACTTATTCATCATTTGAAAAAAATAGGACGGATGATATTTTTGACACTGAATATGCATCCAGGGAGTAATCTGACATTTCAGCATCTAGGACAGAGACAACGAAAAACAAGCTTCAGCTCAACTCAAGAAAGAAGGGGCTCAATCAGTGCAGAGTAAACAGATAGACCTAGTCAAACCGCAAATGTTCACTTATGATAGATCTAACTTGAAATTTAGAGAAAAAAAACACCAAACATGAGCATAAGCATTGACCTTTGTGGTAAAGAGAATGAAGGACTGCACAACGGAGGAGCGACAACAATGTCGAAGTAAAATGGATACAAAACTCATCATGTTTCCAAAAATATAAACGATCATAAATACATGAGACAATCTGAATCGAGACTAAATGCCCCATACTTGATAAATTAATCGAAAACCGATTCAAAATAACTGAGTGAATAGATACAAAGATTCTTCGCTGTCAATAGAAATTCAAAGACGGATTTTAAAATGAGACACTGTTGGCAGCATAGCAAAAGGATATATGCCTCCTTAACCCATATAAACCAAGCCACTAAGTAGAATACAACTAATGGAATCAGATTTCCTGTCATCTAAACCCTAACAAGAACTAATCTAACTCTGAAATTACAACCAGAATCAGTAATTCAAAAGTTCAAATAAAAACTGTCATACTCAATTGAGCAAATAAAAGAAAACATCAACTACTGAGAGCTTGAAGTAAAAGGAATTTAACTTTATCCACATATACCAAAGACATAGAAAATACTTAAAATTATTTGAAGAGTGTAAACTTCCTGTTAAACAATTCAATAAATTGCCTTAGACTGTCAAGATAAATGACAAGAAAAGACACCAAACTGTAAATGTTACTTCTGAGACATACTGTATATACACTGAACACATCAGTGTTCCAATAGAGGTAAAAAAAAAGAAAAAGAAGAAAAACACCAGCCAAATGAAGCTTTAAGGAACATTTGGAGTCAATTAGAAAAAAAACAACGTTCTTCACAACTCTGAAGTAAAGGGATTAAAAGCACCTGTGTAAAATTCATCTAGAAATGAAGTGAATACTGATGCAAGAGGTCAAGGAAAAACTTGTCTCATGTTCCTACCTCAGGAGAGTCATCACAGTCTCCAAAAACTTCAGCAAAGTCTGTAGGACTTTTCCTCAGAGTCTGGTCAGCAGGCAGTGTGTTGTCATTGTAAGATGACACAAACTTAAAGTCACTGGTTCGAGACCCTGTTGTCAGGTAGGCGTCATAATTGTAAGCGCTGCGTAAAGTCCCTGTGCCGTCAACATCTGCGTAATTAGGAGGAAGATAAGCGCTGGGGATGGCGACTGCTCCGTCAAACAACAGTCTGGGCTTTCTCCTGCGACAAAACCTCACACCCATGATGATGATGATGAAGGTCAGAAAAAAGGTGGACACACACACCAGCGCGATGATCAGATAAGAGGTCAGTTTGGAGTTCTTCTCATCATAAGAAATGTCCTTCAGTTCTGGCACCTCAGCCAAGTTATCAGAAATCAGTAAATACATGGAACAGGTGGCAGACAGAGAGGGCTGTCCGTTATCTTTCACTGACACAATAAGGTTCTGTTTCATGCTGTCAGACTCAGAAATGTCCCGCTGGGTCCTGATCTCTCCGCTGTGGACACCAATAGTGAAAAGTCCCGGATCAGTGGATTTCACTATATGATAGGACAGCCAGGCGTTCTGTCCGGAGTCCGCGTCCACCGCTATCACTTTGGACACCAGAGAGCCTCCGTGTGCAGCTTTGGGGACCAGCTCGGTCATGAAGGAGTTGCCCTCCGGGCGGGGTACAGTATCTGAGGAGAGTTGTCATTCACATCCGATATGAACACACTCACGGTCACGTTGCTGCTGAGTGGAGGAGAACCGTTGTCTCTGGCCATCACGTGCACTTTAAAGCTCCTGAACTGTTCATAATCAAACGACCTCACAGCGTGGATCACCCCCGTGTCTCCGTTCACAGACACATAGGAGGACACCGGGGCACCGTTCACCTCACCGGATAACAGAGAATAAACCACTGTACCGTTCTGTCTCCAGTCGGGGTCTCGAGCACTAACGGAACATAAAGTGGAGCCAGGTTTGTTATTTTCACTCACATATGCGCTGTACGACTGTTCCTCAAACACAGGTGGGTTGTCGTTGATGTCTGCTACAGATAACTGAACAGTTTTAGACGAGGACAGAGGTGGAGAGCCCTCGTCAGTGGCAGTGATTGTAATGTTGTAATCAGACACTAGTTCACGGTCCAGTTGTCCTGTGCTCACCACAGAATAATAGTTTTTAATAGAAGGAACCAACTTAAAAGGGACATTCTGCTGAATGGAGCAGCGGACCTGTCTGTTAGTCTCAGAGTCTCTATCCTGCACGTTAATGATGCCCACCTCTGTACCAGGTGACACGTTCTCAGGTATGGGGTTAGTCAGTGATTTAAGGTATATAAGAGGAGCGTTGTCATTTATGTCAGTAACATCTATTGTCAAAGTCGCGTATGAAACTAGTCCAAGACCATCTTTGGCGCTTATCTGCACTTCATAGGAAGACTCTTTTTCATAATCAATTGCTACAGCTACTCTCACCTCTCCCGATTTAGGATCTAAAGAAAAAACGTTGTTCTTTTCATCTGAAACATGATCAAAACCATAAGTTATTTCACTATTTAAACCCTCGTCTGCATCAGTAGCACTGACTGTGATTACCAATGTGTCTAAAGGAGAGTTTTCAGGAAGACTGGCTTTATAGACGGTCTGACTGAACACTGGTACATTATCATTAGCATCCAGTACAGTGACATGTATGACTACAGTCCCTGATCTCCGAGGAGAGCCTCCATCAAATGCTGTAAGCAATAACATGAGCTCTCTTTTTTCTTCTCGGTCTAATTCTTTGTCTAAAACTAATTCGCAGTACTTTCGATCCCCTGCTTTCCCGTTTATATTTAAATTAAAATGATCATTCTGCTGAAGAGTATAGCCCTGAACAGAATTTTCTCCGATGTCTCCATCGTGTGCCTCTCCGAGGAGAAAACGTGCACCCTTGACTGCCGATTCTCGAATTTCAATTCTAAGTGAATCATCTGTAAATTGGGGTGAATTGTCGTTGATATCTTGAACACGGATATTAATACGGTGCACTTCTAAAGGATTTTCCAAAACGAGTTCCTGTTTCAGAACACACGATGCTCGTTTCGCACAAAGCCCTTCTCTGTCAATCCTTTCTTGTACGATCAAGTCTCCTGTATTGAGATTCATGCCGCAGTACTTAACATTGTTATCCTCGGTGTCAATGCGAGCCTTGCGAGCAGATAGTGTGCCAGATTTAAGTCCCAGATCCTTCGCGATATTTCCAATTACAGATCCACGTTTCATTTCCTCCGGGATAGAGTAGCTCACGTCTCCATAGACGGGGTGGAGGACGAACAAAATAACAGCAAGGCCGTAACGCAGCACAGAACTGCTGTATCCCATTGTTACTGCAAGACAGTTCAAACACACTGAAAATATAGGGCCAAGCAATCCACACTAAATCAACGACGGTTTCGAAATTTGTCTTAACAAATAAGAAAATGTAGCGCACCCACACGAAGCGTCTGTTGCCAACAGCGTTACAATAGCAGGGTAATCTACATGGAGGCTGAAGGGAGGGGAATGACTATGACCGCTCGTGTGCTGGTATACACCGACACCATGAGTATGTATAAGGTATAACAGGGAGATAGATTCATTTTCTCTGAATATTTAGAAAATAGACCCATTCCCTACTCCTTAATTTAA